AAAAAAAAAAAAAAAAAAAAAAAAAGAGCAGTAGAAGGATTCTAACAGAGCGGAGCCGAGAAATTTGCGGGAACGGGGTTCGATCCGCTGACCAAAAGGCTCAGAATCGCGCGATGCATCCATCACGGAGATTCTCTCCGATCGCCCACGATCCATGTCCTTTTTTTTTTTTGTTTTTGTTTTTGTTTTGTTTTTTTTAATAGTGTTGCTTGGTAACAAAGAAGGACATGAACATTTCCTTCCTCATCGTCTTTTTTTTTTGCGTTGTTCTTTTTTTTTCTTTTTTTCCCCCCTCCAAATGTGGTTAGCCTCCTGATGAGACCGGAGCGTTCATAAATAAATAAATAAATAAATAAATAAAAACGTAGAGGAGGAACGCGTGCGCGTTTCGAGCATGGGAGCGCGCCAGGCCCTTCTTCCACAAGTGTGGCCATCTCCTTTTTTCGATTTTTTTTTTTTTTTTTTTTTGAGGAATGGGACCTTTGGGGCGGGGATGTGGGGGATGGGGGCGAAGGAGGGGGGAGTCAATATTTTTATTGCCTTTTTTTCTCCCTTTGTTTTTTTCCCCTTTTTTTTTTAAAGAAGAAAACGCAGGGGGGTCGGGGGTAGGCCCTTCTTCCTCCACAATTATGGACATCTCCTTTTTCGAAAATTCAATACTTTTACTTTTCTTTGTTTTTTTTTGTTTTTTTTTTGTTTTTTTTATAAAAAAAAAAAAGATCTCCGTTTATTAATATCAAAGCCGGGAAGCGGGCCCGGCGTCCCTTACAAAAAAGTCGCCGCAGCACTGAGCTGAGCTAGGCTCTTCGGCCAGGCAAAGCTCATACCACGACTATGTCTCAGCTGTATCAGGGGCAGAGACCTTCAAAGTATAAAGCTTGTAAAAATCGGCCATTTACATCTCTCAGCCATATCCTAATATTCCATATCAACGGCAGCTGAGTACAGCATCAACCGTATCGTAGTGCTACACATCTATCACACTACAAATCAACAAAGGTATATGCTTGATCACTCAGAAAGAACCTGTATATACAACTAACGACCGTATTTTTTTTTTTCTTTTTTTTTTTTTTCTTTTTTTTTTTTCTTTTCTTTTCTTTTAGAAGGGACCCAACTTGTCATTGGGCGTCGCCGCACGGGACACGAAACGAAAAACTTAACGAGTCCATCTTCCTGCAGAAAATGGCCAGGTTCATCGGTTTGCTATAAGTGGTAACGAGTGTATTTTGCCACCTTTGTTGGGCAGATGCACTCGTTTCGTTTTCGTTTCGTGTGCCGTGCGGCGAGACCCATTAACAACCAGGCAACGTGCCCACGGCTTACATCAACTTTTTTTTTTTTTTTTTTTTTTTTTTATCGCATGGCTTACTAGTACGTCATTGAGCACATACGACAAAGCGAATTCCTCCACCATAGGAAACGCAAGCAAATCCTTTTCTCTTGTTTTGTTTTTCCTCTTTTTTTTAATCTTTTCTATATAATTCCCATTGACAAACAAATGCGTTCTGGCAGATCCCTCGCTTTTTTTTCTTTTTTTTTTTAATTAACCCCGATGACCAAAAGCATGTGTTTTATAATAGGAACCAGTTTAAAAGAAAAGAGAGGGGGGGAAGGGGGAAGGGGGAGGGGGAGGGGGAGGGGGAGCGAGGGAAACGAGAGGATATGTTTTCCATTGGTTATACAATCTTTCCCCGAGGACAACGCACCCTCATCGTGACTGAATCAGACCGGAAAGATAGCGTGTATACATTCATGATCAGGGTGCGTTGTATTCGGGGGAACACTATACAGTTCATGATCGCAGCTGCTCCGATCCTTGATGCACAACTCAACAGTTTTTGTTCTGAGCGGATTTTGTTTATTAATTTAAATTCTATTTATCGTAATTCAAAGAAAAAAGGAGGACCTGCAATAAGACATAAAGAAACGAAGAGAACGAGAAGAAGAAGAAGAAGAAGAAGACAGAGATGGAAGAGAAAAGAAGAAGAAGAAGACAAAGATGGAAGAGAAAGAAGAAGAAGAAGAAGAAGAAGATAGAAGGAAG